CATTATGATTTCGTGAACCATGTTCAGGTTTTAATGTCAAAATAATTTCAATACAGTAAGTTGTCTGCTTACAAACATGTTCAGAATATTTTATTTTTTTTTTTTTATTATCACACTGGCCGATTCCCACCAAGGCAGGGTGGCCCGAAAAAGAAAAACTTTCACCATCATTCACTCCATCACTGTCTTGCCAGAAGGGTGCTTTATACTACAGTTTTTAAACTGCAACATTAACACCCCTCCTTCAGAGTGCAGGCACTGTACTTCCCATCTCCAGGACTCAAGTCCGGCCTGCCGGTTTCCCTGAACCCTTCATAAATGTTACTTTGCTCACACTCCAACAGCACGTCAAGTATTAAAAACCATTTGTCTCCATTCACTCCTATCAAACACGCTCACGCACGCCTGCTGGAAGTCCAAGCCCCTCGCACACAAAACCTCCTTTACCCCCTCCCTCCAACCTTTCCTAGGCCGACCCTACCCGCCTTCCTTCCACTACAGACTGATACACTCTTGAAGTCATTCTGTTTCGCTCCATTCTCTCTACATGTCCGAACCACCTCAACACCCTTCCTCTGCCTCTGGACAACAGTTTTTGGTAATCCCGCACCTCCTCCTAACTTCCAAACTACGAATTCTCTGCATTATATTCACACCACACATTGCCCTCAGACATGACATCTCCACTGCCTCCAGCCTTCTCCTCGCTGCAACATTCATCACCCATGCTTCACACCCATATATGAGCATTGTAAAACTATACTCTCATACATTCCCTCTTTGCCTCCAAGGACAAAGTTCTTTGTCTCCACAGACTCCTAAGTGCACCACTCACTCTTTTACCCTCATCAATTCTATGATTCACCTCATCTTTCATAGACCCATCCGCTGACACGTCCACTCCCAAATATCTGAATACATTCACCTCCTCCATACTCTCTCCCTCCAATCTGACATTCAATCTTTCATCACCTAATCTTTTTGTTATCCTCATAACCTTACTCTTTCCTGTATTCACCTTTAATTTTCTTCTTTTGCACACCCTACCAAATTCATCCACCAATCTCTGCAACTTCTCTTCAGAATCTCCCAAGAGCACAGTGTCATCAGCAAAGAGCAGCTGTGAGAACTGCCACTTTGTGTGTGATTCTTTATCTTTTAACTCCACGCCTCTTGTCAAGACCCTCGCATTTATTTCTCTTACAACCCCCATCTATAAATATATTAAACAACCACGGTGACATCACACATCCTTGTCTAAGGCCTACTTTTACTGGGAAATAATTTCCCTCTTTCCTACATACTCTAACTTGAGCCTCACTATCCTCGTAAAAAATCTTCACTGCTTTCAGTAACCTACCTCCTACACCATACACTTGCAACATCTGCCACATTGCCCCCCTATCCACCCTGTCATACGCCTTTTCCAAATCCATAAATGCCACAAAGACCTCTTTAGCCTTATCTAAATATTGTTCACTTATATGTTTCACTGTAAACACCTGATCCACACACCCCCTACCTTTCCTAAAGCCTCCTTGTTCATCTGCTATCCTATTCTCCGTCTTACTCTTAATTATTTCAATAATAACTCTACCATACACTTTACCAGGTATACTCAGCAGACTTATCCCCCTATAATTTTTGCACTCTCTTTTATCACCTTTGCCTTTATACAAAGGAACTATGCATGCTCTCTGCCAATCCCTAGGTACCTTACCCTCTTCCATACATTTATTAAATAATTGCACCAACCACTCCAAAACTATATCCCCACCTGCTTTTGACATTTCTATCTTTATCCCATCAATCCCGGCTGCCTTACCCCCTTTCATTTTACCTACTGCCTCACGAACTTCCCCACACTCACAACTGGCTCTTCCTCACTCCTACAAGATGTTATTCCTCCTTGCCCTATACATGAAATCACAGCTTCCCTATCTTCATCAACATTTAACAATTCCTCAAAATATTCCCTCCATCTTCCCAATACCTCTAACTCTCCATTTAATAACTCTCCTCTCCTATTTTTAACTGACAAATCCATTTGTTCTCTAGGCTTTCTTAACTTGTTAATCTCACTCCAAAACTTTTTCTTATTTTCAACAAAATTTGTTGATAACATCTCACCCACTCTCTCATTTGCTCTCTTTTTACATTGCTTCACCACTCTCTTAACCTCTCTCTTTTTCTCCATATACTCTTCCCTCCTTGCATCACTTCTACTTTGTAAAAACTTCTCATATGCTAACTTTTTCTCCCTTACTACTCTCTTTACATCATCATTCCACCAATCGCTCCTCTTCCCTCCCGCACCCACTTTCCTGTAACCACAAACTTCTGCTGAACACTCTAACACTACATTTTTAAACCTTCCCATTCCTCTTCGACCCATTGCCTATGCTCTCATTACCCCATCTATCCTCCAATAGCTGTTTATATCTTCCCCTAACTGCCTCCTTTTTTAGTTTATAAACCTTCACCTCTCTCTTCCCTGATGCTTCTATTCTCCTTGTACCCCATCTACCTTTTACTCTCAGTGTAGCTACAACTAGAAAGTGATCTGATATATCTGTGGCCCCTCTATAAACATGTACATCCTGAAGTCTACTCAACAGTCTTTTATCTACCAATACATAATCCAACAAACTACTGTCATTTCGCCCTCATCATATCGTGTATACTTATTTATCCTCTTTTTCTTAAAATATGTATTACCTATAACTAAACCCCTTTCTATACAAAGTTCAATCAAAGGGCTCCCATTATCATTTACACCTGGCACCCCAAACTTACCTACCACACCTCTCTAAAAGTTTCTCCTACTTTCGCATTCAGGTCCCCTACCACAATTACTCTCTCACTTGGTTCAAAGGCTCCTATACATTCACTTAACATCTCCCAAAATCTCTCTCTCTCCTCTGCATTCCTCTCTTCTCCAGGTGCATACACGCTTATTATGACCCACTTCTCGCATCCAACCTTTACTTTAATCCACATAATTCTCGAATTTACACATTCATATTCTCTTTTCTCCTTCCATAACTGATCATTTAACATTACTGCTACCCCTTCCTTTGCTCTAACTCTCTCAGATACTCAGATATTTTATATTGTGTATAATATTCATAATATGTACAGGAAGTCTTCAACTTTAAGAACATGTTGGGAACCTACTGTATCATGTATGATATAATGATATTATACACAATACGCAAGATTCTCAATGTATTCGTAAGTTGGAGACTTACTGTATTTTACTTTTTGTTTGTAACTTCTAAATCTTTAAAAAATCACGCACATTAGAGGTGCACATAAGCTTTGCTCCTCGTGCCTAAACTGGCATCATGACGAGCAGGATCATTAAGCCATGGTAGAATATTTCTCAGAGTAACAACTTTTTTCTATATTCATCAGTTACTTTACTCTAGAATTTGACACTTCTACAGCATCTGAATTTTTTTTTTTTAAAGATTCACAAATGTTGCAACAGTGTCTTGATTCTTCAACTTCACAGTTGTCCAAACCATTTACATCACATTATTGTAATTAAAATTTTTTAGCTAATTACATTATGAAACATACAAAGGAGCCCTCCCAGAATATTTTTGTATATATATGGTATATGCTTACTGCAGGTCACTTTGTACTTCTTTTTATTTTGTATACATGTGATAATTATTTTCTTAACATATTCAAGCTCGAGTTTTTGAGCAGTGGCCAAAATGAGTGATTTCGTCAGTGCAGTTTCTTCCACTATAAACCCACTTTCATTCTTGTAGGGGTTTGGTGCTCGTTTGTTTTCCACCCACGCCCTAATGCATGGCAAAAAAAAAAAATTATTTCCAATTTCGTTATTTTAAGTTAATATTGAAACTAGTAGAATTACTAATCATTCTGGCACAGCAGCAGCAGGTGTATGAAGTTTTTGTTGGGATTTTAAGAGGTTTATTATCCCAGAAAAAAAGAGCCTGTCTGTAATGTGTATAATGTGTATAGTGGTTTAAATGAGGCAACAGGTTATTAATGTTGCATTGCTATGTTTTGTATATGGCTGCCAAAATTGCCGGCCTCAGCCTGTACCTGTACATATATAATATTCCCAGTCAGATATATTACCTATAATATAACCGGTAACAGCCGCAACTGCATTTTTGGCAGACTTTTAGCCTTCTAATATGTAAATTACAGGATAAGGGGGTTGAAGGTGCCTCATATTGTAAGGAAGACTTACACATTACGTTAATTTTGACCATCTTCCATATACAAGTGATAGATGCACCATCACTTTCAGTCCACTGATTTGTAAATGTGTTCTTGTAATAAAACAAAATGTATTATATGCTGCTTTGGTATGTAATATACAGATAAGAAACTGAGTTTAGGACAGTATGTATGCCATAAATATTTGTTTTTAATTTCGTAATAAAATGTCAGAACAGATTTTTGTTTTTTTCCACAAATTGTTGTATTTTTTAAGTATATTATTGAAACAAGGCAATTTTGAAATAAGATTGTGAGAATAAGTGAAGTATTTTTAAAAGTATATTATTACAATGCCAAGCTGTTTTAAAAATAAGGTTAAGTGGAGTAATTTACGTATTTGAAAGTATATTATTACAGTGCCAGAGTATTTTGGAATAAGATTTGCCAGGGTAAAAATGAAGTCAATGCGCCAGGTACACGAGCACGTGGCTGTGTTTATATCGCAAGTTACATATGTCCTTTTTATTTTAAGGTGCGTGTGTGTGTTTGAGGGAAGCAGGGAAACACGAGTATTGACCTACAGCCTCTAACAAAGGACTTTCTAGAACGCAGCCCTCCAACCAATCACAACGCTCGCTTGCTCTGACGTCACTAGCTGGGCGGATCTTACACTCTGTTCAAATGCCCTCAAACGACTTTAAAATAAAATTATTGTACACAAACGAGTATTCATGAAAAGGAAACTTAGTAGTTATATTAAATATATCCCTGTTCTTGTAAATACATTTAAAAACGTACGATTAACGTGAAATACAAGAGAAAATGACGAAGTAAAAGAGATAAATAGCGCAGCGTGCATTCGGACACACATCAAGTGTTTGTAAATATCAACATGGCTTCCAGCTTCTACCACTCCATGGTACCTCAGCCTACATTTGTACCGCCTGCTCAGAATACCGTACAAGAAGCACCAAAGGAAAAGAAGAAGAGGACGAGGAACCCAGAGAACTGGAAAAAGGAAAAGAGGAAACGAGCAATACTAGCCGGCCAGGCCTACGTCAACACTAAAGGAGAACTAGTAGGCCCTCGCGCTATAGGCCCGGACTGTAATTGTAAAAATAAATGTTTTTTGGCCGTGTCCGACGAAAATCGTAATGCTATATTCAATGGATACTATTCCCTCAATAGGTAATTTATAAGTCTCTTTTTTACGGTGAGAATATACACTTGAATATCCCCCCCCCCGGTGTTTTGTGTGTGAGCCCGACGGGTTTAGCGCTGCCCCATGATTGTGATAGTGTTATTTAAAGAAGACTTTTGGATGCTAGTGGAAGGCTCTTGATTCGAGGAATTGGAGGTGTTCTTCCCTTTATTAGTTCAAGCGACCTATGGCGTCCCAGGTGCTGTGTGTGGGTTTAACGCTCATGACTAATATTAAAATTTGTTCTGTGCTGTATGCCCCATGTAGGTTTAGTGCTTTCTGATTATAATTAAGATTTGTTGAGATTTTTAATCCAGGGGAAGGGTTAGCCACCCAGGATAACCCGGGGAAGGGAGTGTTAGCCACCAAGGATAACCTGGAGTAGGGTGGGTTATCCTGTGGCCTGGTTGACAACGGTGTAGCCTCACCTATGAAAATAAGTCACTGACTTTTTTGGGTTATCCTAGGCTCTCTACACATGTGCTATGTATGATAATCTGTGACTATTTGTGTATACCTGAATAAACTTATATACAGTGTCTGTGTTCAATCCTTGGCAAGGGTAGAAACATTGGACGTGTTACCTTACACCTGCTGTCGTTGTTCACCTAGAAGTACCTGGGTGTTAGTGGACTGGAGTGGGTTGCATCCTAGGGAGCAAGACTGAATGACTACAATGGCCCGGTGGCCTGGTGGCTAAAGCTCCCGCTTCACACACGGAGGGCCCGGGTTCGATTCCCGACGGGTGGAAACATTTCGACGTGTTTCCTTACACCTGTTGTCCTGTTCACCTAGCGGCAAATAGGTACCTGGGTGTTAGTCGACTGGTGTGGGTCGCATCCTGGGGGACAAGATTGAGGACCCCAATGGAAATAAGTTAGACAGTCCTCGATGACGCACTGACTTTCTTGGGTTATCCTGGGTGGCTAACCCTCCGGGGTTAAAAATCCGAACGAAATCTTATCTTAATAAGACAGTCCTTGATGCACTGACTTTCTTGGGTTACCCTGGTTGGCTAACTTTCCAGGGTTAAAAAATCCGAACAAAATCTTATTTTCTGGCTGGAGACGAAGTCCCCCACTGCTTCCAAAAAGGCTTGAAACATGTAAATACAACTACTTTACAGGAGGAAATAGCCAAAAAGCAGCAGCAACCACGAGGCTACCAAAAAAATAAATTGTCGAAACCAATCTCAGGCATGCTTTATGAACTACAATAAGGATCCCAGTGGAAATAACTCGCTGACTTTTTTGGGTTATCCTAGGTAATTTACACATGTTACTATGTATGATTAATAAACTTAGTGCCCGTGGTTCAGTCCCCAGCCAGGTAGAAACACTGGGCATTTCCTCTCACCTGCTGTCCCTGTTCACCTAGCAGTAAGTAGGTACCTGGGTTATATTTTAGTACATATTGAAAACCCAGAGTTATGCACAGAGCTGTGGTGTCTGCACATAACCTTCAACTCCCAACTCCTTTACGGTGTCTCCTATTCCTCTATTTATGGCCCAAGAATTACTTCCAACTCCAACTCCATGACTTGACTCCAGCTCCACAGCCCTGGTTATGCAGAGAATTTCAGACAAATTGAAGTCTAACTTGAAAACTACAAAGGCATTTAGTGTCAACTTTTTATTTTCAGTTATGACGAGCAGAATGCTTACCTCTATGGGCTCATTCGTCGCCACGACATACAACGCAAGCGGAAACCAGTTTCTGAACGGAGAACTTGTTCCTATAAGTACTATATTCGTATTAAAGGAAAGGAGATTCAGGTAAGTTTTAGCCATATATATATAATTAATAGTTTAAAAGATCAGAGCAAAATTGTTTCTGTTGCAGTATATATTGCTAAGTTCTTTATTTAAGTACAGCCTCTCCTCACTTAGCGATGTACTATTTTACCAACGCCTCGGACTTATGACGGGCTCTCTGACCAGTATTCATACCTAAATACATGTAATGTATATTAGAGCTGATTTCCTCTATTCTGTTTATTTCAGTATACAGTACACCAGAAATGTTATAAATGGTGCAAAGGTGGTTGTCACAAACTAGCTACCATTTTAGTATGCACGTCACTTAGTGACAAATTCATTTAATGACGTGATCTCAGGAACGGAACTCCGTCAAGTTAGAAGAGGCTGTACTGTAGTAATGAAGGCTCAGTTTTTTTACTATACAGATACTCCTTGACTTACGATGGGGTTGCGCTCTGACGAACCCATTTTAAGTCGAACTTGAATATGATAAAGTAAATAGCTTCTGTCACTGAATAAGTAAATAATTACTATAACTAAATACCAGTATCGAAAAGTAAATAAATGAATGTAAGTTATGGACTTGCTGCCTTCATTCTGGGTAATTATCTTAAGTTTCACCTTGCACCATCCTCAAGTCAAGATATCTTAAGTCGAGGAGTATCTATACCACATAAGAATATACAACATAAGAAGTGGTAAAGGCATGCAGTTATTACAGAGTTATGTACAAAAGTGTAATAGGCTCATGTTTCTGTTAAAAATTGTATACTCTATATACTTAAAGTTGATTGTATTGCAGTATATATATATATATATATATATATATGTCCTATATTATATACATCGAGGATTGATTTCTTAAAGATATGACTTAGTTTTATGTGGCCATTGTTTTTATGAATGTAGTACTGTGTTATCATAACCAAGTGCTAAACCCATAAGGGCAGTACTGTGTTATTTAATGACTTAGTAACCCAGGTCCTTATAGGTTGCAGCATTACACAGACAGTTACAACACATTCACGGCTTTTTTCATTTCATTAGCCAATTTCTCTCGTGTATATTTCTTTGTATATATTCTGTATTTTTTTTTAACTCCTGTTTAGGTCTCTCATAAAAATAATCATGTTTGTTATCTGAGGGATTGAAAAAGGCTCCTTCAGTTTTTTGGAAAACATTTTATAAGTGCAGGAAACTGCAAGAAATCTCAAAAATATATTCATTAAGATTTCTTTGGAGTGTCCTCACCAGTTTATCTGAATTTACTGTGTACTTTCTTTATCTTTAATGCTGTCTCCCACCTTGTGCAAGGTGGCCCATGCAGAATCTCCTGTAACAGGTTAGTTCTTGTGGTAACGTTGGTAGAATTACCGACATATGTTTAGGTAAAAGGAGGTGTGTGCAACTAGTGTGACATTTTATTGTGGCAACATTTTGATCTCCAGGAGCTTGACGAAACTCCTGGAGAGCAAAATGTTGCACTAGTTGCCCTTGTGTCCTTACTTAACAGGTTAGTTCTTGCATGTCTTCAGTGTTCCGCTCCTCCCCTTAAAAAAAAGGGAGATCTTCCTCAGTTCTGTGCAAAGGTGATTAATGCAAGATCTGAACTGCCACCTACTTTTTATGATTTTTTTAATTTTAGTTATTTCATTGGTAGACAGCAACTATAGGAGGGTACTACTCTCCCAACATACGATTGAGATGGAAGGCCACTAAACATTTTGTGATGTGGCAGGATTGCTGGTACCCTCGCGTCATAAACGTGCAAGATGACTTAATACAGACCTCAGCTTACGCTCAGTGTACATTTTAATTTCTCATTTTCTTCTTAATGCATAGTTCTCATTCCTGTGTTAGAGCAGTTCTTGTCATTTTTCAAAGCTTGGTGTGAGACCGAGTTGCAGCAGCACTGATCTCGAGTACCATTAACATTTAAATTGTCAAATCTGCTTGGGCAGAAAATGAAATGCCTTGGTCAGACACTTCTGCCTCAGAGAAAGAAATATGGATCTGTCTCTATATACCTCTGTACTTGTGTATAATTTTTTGGCCAAGCAGTCTTTCACTTTTTTGTCACTGTTTATGACAATTTAAACATTTACAGATACATCTCACTCACAAAGAAATAACACGACTGCACACAAACCACACCCTTTTTATTTTCATATAAATCTGTTATGCTGGAACTGGTCGTAATTAATTTTGTTTACTTTAACCCTTTAAGAATTAATCTAAGTTTGCCCGAAATGCCTAGCCTTGCTAGGTGTTCTAGTGGCCCCTTCTGTAATTAGTATTTCATTACATGTAAACCACACAATAACCAAAATCTGTAAACCCCACATTGTAATCCTTATAGAGAATAAACTTTGATTTGATTTGATTTGATTTGATTCAGGGTCGAGAGGCCCTCTCCTAAACTTGTTCTCAGGGTCGAAAATTTTTCAGAAAAAAAAAATTTTTTTCTTCTTATGAAAAGATAGAAATTTGATGGAAAACTTACGGAATTATGCTCTCACGAAGTAAGCGATCTTGACGATGTTTACTCATCAGTGATTTCATCCACTTTGAGCCCTATTTTCGGCCAATTCCAGTGTACTAATCAACAAAGATCATAACTATTTCGCTAGAACTATTTTTTCTATCAAATGAGTACAAGAAACCACTCATTTACCGATTTGAACTATCCGATAAAGCGGTCAGAAATTAGCAATTTTTGCCAATTTCACACAAGTTTCAAAGGATGCCAATTTCCAAATAGGGTCCAGAATAAACAAGACAGACATCCCTGGCACTAAAATAACATTTCCTCTGTTCATTAGTCACATCCCCAGGCCCCTCTTAAATTTCTTTTGCTTTCCACTTTGAATTTTTATTCTCACAAAAAATAGAAGATTTACTGTTATGCAGACTACTGCATTAGTGTAGAAATGGTATAAATAATATCAGCACACTTGTGAAAGAATATTAGACTCACCAGTTGATGTGTATTGGACACGTGGCACGATTTGTTTACTTTTGAACTTGGGCAAAAATCGAAAATTTCTGCTACTTTGAGCTCAATTTCAAGGTACTTTTCATTTGTGAAACCAATCAAAATCAACTCAATTTCTGTAATATGTCTTCCATTCTATAAAATGAGACAAAGAAAACTAAATACAACCATAAATACCATACGAAAATACAATGCAAAGTCGCTGTTTTAAACCAAAAACGCTGTCAAAGTTTTTTTTTTTTTTTCTCATTATGCACTGTGTGCTGCAGGATTTTTTTTATACTGTGCACACTGACCACATAGACCCATTCTCTCATATGTAGGCCTACCAGCTTTCTCTCGCTAAATTTGAAGGCGCTAGAATTTAGGCGTACTAGTAAGTAAAGTTTTCATTTTAATTCTGGACATACAGGCAGGCCCTGCTTTACAGTGTTTTGCTAATACAGCAGTTTTCAATTATACCCATTCTTCATTTATTCAGACTTCCTACAATAAATAGTAAGTGGTGATATTCACCACTCACTATAAACTAAGGATGAAAATATTTTAAGGTAATAATGTATGTTCTCCATGGGGAAGTGCAACAGAATTCTTCCTCCATAAGCCATGCATGTCGTAAGAGGTGACTAAAATGCCGGGAGCAAGGGGCTAGTAACCCCTTCTCCTGTATATATTACTAAATGTAAAAGGAGAAACTTTTGTTTTTACTTTTGGGCCACCCCGCCTCGGTGGGATACGGCCGGTACGTTGAGAGAGAGAGAGAGAGTATGTCAATAACCCTGGTGCGTAAGCCGCACTAGTACGTCGGAAACCCTGAAAGGGTTCATACAACAAGGTCTCTTCATTACTTGTTCAGTGAGGAAAGTACCTCCATATGATTTTTTTCTCTATTTGCATTCTTTTGATTTACGAATATATATTATTTCCATATCAATAGGTAGTAGGTTGGTAGACAGCAACCACCCAGGGAAGTACTACCGTCCTGCCAGATGACTGTGAAACAAAAACCTGTAATTGTTTTGCATGATGGTAGGATTGCTGGTTTCTTTTTCTGTCTCATAAACACGCTAAGATAACAGGGATATCTTGCTACTCCTACTTACACTTTGGTCACACTTCACAGACACGCACATGCATATATATATATACATACATCTAGGTTTTTCTCCTTTTTCTAAATAGCTCTTGTTCTTTTTTATTTCTTCTATTGTCCATGGGGAAGTGGAAAAGAATCTTTCCTCCGTAAGCCATGCGTGTCGTATGAGGCGACTAAAATGCCGGGAGCAATGGGCTAGTAACCCTTCTCCTGTATACAATTACTAAAAAGAGAAGAAGAAAAACTTTATAAAACTGGGTTGCTTAAATGTGCGTGGATGTAGTGCGGATGACAAGAAACAGATGATTGCTGATGTTATGAATGAAAAGAAGTTGGATGTCCTGGCCCTAAGCGAAACAAAGCTGAAGGGGGTAGGAGAGTTTCAGTGGGGGGGAAAAAAATGGGATTAAATCTGGAGTATCTGAGAGAGTTAGAGCAAAGGAAGGGGTAGCAGTAATGTTAAATGATCAGTTATGGAAGGAGAAAAGAGAATATGAATGTGTAAATTCAAGAATTATGTGGATTAAAGTAAAGGTTGGATGTGAGAAGTGGGTCATAATAAGCGTGTATGCACCTGGAGAAGAGAGGAATGCAGAGGGAGAGAGAGAGATTTTGGGAGATGTTAAGTGATGTATAGGAGCCTTTGAACCAAGTGAGAGAGTAATTGTGGTAGGGGACTTGAATGCTAAAGTAGGAGAAACTTTTAGAGAGGGTGTGGTAGGTAAGTTTGGGGTGCCAGGTGTAAATGATAATGGGAGCCCTTTGATTGAACTTTGTATAGAAAGGGGTTTAGTTATAGGTAATACATATTTTAAGAAAAAGAGGATAAATAAGTATACACGATATGATGTAGGGCGAAATGACAGTAGTTTGTTGGATTATGTATTGGTAGATAAAAGACTGTTGAGTAGACTTCAGGATGTA